AAGCCAGCATCAACTAGGCTGTACATTCGTGTAATTATAATAAATTGCTGGGAAAGTACCAGAATAATTTCGGGTCAAAAGTCAAATTAATAAACTTTCAATTAGGAATTAAAATGCCATAATAAACAGGGGGGGCGGATAAAACTCAAAGAAAGTAAAATCATAATTACTGAGATGATTGACATTTTGTGCAGTTGGGGGTTAGAAATGTAGAAATAACAAAATAAATAGACAGGATGTTTGGATAAAAAATCTCGAGTGGGATCATAACTAATATGACGAATAATTGTTTATGCAATTAGGGATTAAATAAATAGAAATAATAAAATGACAAGACAGACAAGAAGTTCAGATATGAAACTATGGTAGTGTAAAAAGGAGAGATTAAGAAAAACTTAAAAATAATTTGAAGTTTGAATAAAAAGGGCAATGGGATGGGCATTACTAAAAGAATTACCTGTTTTTATGATGGCCATGTCAGCGATAATATTAAAATTTATCCGGTGTCACTGAGAGAGATAACTGTTTTGGGTTGGGGCAAAGGTCAAGTGAGGGGGAAATAATGAATAAAAACTTTTTCTAAACAGAGATTTAGTTGAAAAATACTAATGGCAACTGCCTCAGCTATATTTAGCAATCGAAGAAGTACCAGTCTAGGGAGTTTGAAGTGACACCTTGGATAGAATTGTAAAAGCTGAACATTTGTCATTCTTTTGATCCATATCCACTAGGTGTGCCAGTATGGAACTTCTGTTTGGAATAAAACTATATTTGGAAATAATTTAGGGGGTCACTAAGCTATATGCACTGTGAAGTCAATCAGCGTATCCATTAACAGTCCTACAAAAGGTCAGTCGTGAGCATGAATGATTAAATGACTGAGTGGGATGAATTCGTTTCTCAGAAGGGAGGGCATCGGTTCCTTCATAGTATTGGGGACGACTTTCTGATGTGTTCAGAAAGCTTAGATGCCGGGTTTCTTCTGTTAATGACTTAGGTTAGATAAACCTCAGAAGAAGAACTTTTGTTGCAAGAATTTTTAAAGGTAATTGACATAAAAACTGAATTGACAGTTACTATGAGAAAAAGACTGAGTTAGTGTCAGTTAAATTCCATCGTCTTGAAGAGTTTCAGAAAGATTGAGCGAAGAAATATTTAATTTTCAATTAGATCTTCATCTCACTCTGGCTCTACTCTAATATACACGTATAGCCTTTTCATTATAATACACAACAGTTTACCAATCAAGTGGCACTGATATGTTTCTTAACAATAATTAAACAGTGTCAAAATGTCAATGGGTTGATAATTAACGAAGAAAATCAATACAAATTTAAAAGGTAGAAATGGTTAGAATAAATTAATTTTACAAGGATAACACGAAATTAAAGATGAAGTGGTCACAACCACCCCTATTCTATGTTCGAGAAATAAGGATAAACTACCTTAATTTGCCTCTTCTATGTGTATCTACCAGTTTGACTGTAGCTGCAGAGCCAGCTACATTAGGCGCACAATTAGGCAGGTTCATCGTCGTATTTCCGAACATCATCCAACATGGTTAAGCAAGGGACAAACAAAATCTATTCGTAGTTCTATTTTAACACACCTTGTTGATACTGAGCATAAGGTTGACGTTAATAGTGCATTTAAAATTATTTATCATATTCCGACTAATCTTAATTTTGCTCTACGAGTTCCTCTTCTACATACGACAGCTGAAGCAATCGGAATCCACCTTAAGAAGCCAAGCCTATGTGTTCAGAAGAAATTTGTACAGCCACTTTCCTTACCGTGGCCATCGTTACAAGAATGCATAAACACGGCTACGTCACCCCCCTCCCGCTAAACCTTTAAAACTATAAAAATTATAATTGTCCAAATTATTTTATTTTTATTTTGATCACTTCATCTTTAATTACGTGTTATCCTTGTAAAATTAATTTATTCTAACCATTTCTACCTTTTAAATGTGTATTGATTTTCTGCGTTAATTATCAACCCATTGACATTTTGACACTGTTTAATTATTGTTAATAAACATATCACCACTTGTTTGGTAAACTGTTGTGTATTGTAATAAAAATGCTATACGTGTATATTAGAGTAGAGCCAGAGTGAGATGAGGATCTAATTGAAAATTAAATATTTCTTCGCTCAATCTTTCTGTTTTCTAAATGTCTAAATGGGGATTTTTTCTATATTGAAGAGTTCCATCGAAACTATAGAATAAAAGAACACAAACTAATAAATTAAATTCGGTGATTCGAACTCGACCTACTCCATTCATAGGATGAATTAGGATTTTAGGAGTAGAAATGGTTATCTACAGATGATATTTAAGTGAAGTTATAAAATATAGTCAAGTTGGTTTCCAGCTGATTGACCGGCTGACTCACTGGCATGTTCACCTCGTAAACGAACAATTATCATGAGGTGATATGTGCACACTTGGGCAGATTCCCAAAATAGGACAAAATGATTCTTTTGCATGGACCTGATCAGGCTTAAATTTCATCATGGATTGATATCAGTTAGAGAACTATTGATAACCAACCAGAAGGTGCTGGACAGTTGCTCCAATTAAGTCCTTGAAAACCTCTAGTTGGAAATTAATCTAGTGCTTACTAGTGAACTACTACAAGATGAAAATGTCACGAGGTCTGGTGAGATATCGTGACCAGCGCTATATTATCGACAGTTGACATAAGTAAGAATTCATGAGCTTCTGAAAACCGTCAACAGGCTGGTCGAGTAAGCTGAAGGTTCTGGGTTCACTCCTCTGTAGAGTAATGTGTGTAGAGTCCCAAACTAACCAGGATGAAATAGCTATCCAATAATTCCAGGTTTCAGGTGTGCTTATCAAAATGACGCCAATCCGTGATTGGACTTGAATCACATATTTCAGAATGTCACTAACTGTTCATTTTTTTTTACAGCACTCATCTTGTATTTAATCTTACTTATTCAAAAGAAAGATCTCGTAAAGTTTTAGAAACGACTCTAAATTACAGTTTCTTGGCTATACCAAAAGTAGAAAGTGGTTCCAAGCTAAAAATTAACAATTTTCTAAATGTAATTTCTGACTGACTGGTTTCAACGTAGAACTTTGAGCAGAAGTGCAGTAGTACGAGTTGCCACACTCTCTTCTTGTGGCAAACCAGGCATGAGAAGAGCTTAAAGCGAAAGAGATTCAAAAGAAAGATAATAAACAGAAGTGTGAGTGAGGGAAAAAGAATATTAATATGGCGGAAGAACAACAGAGTTTTATTGGACATGACAAATGACAAAGAATGAATGCATCCGCACCAGCCAATGACAACAAGGATTTTCAGCCATATCGCCACAGTTTTCTCCAGCCTACATTGGTTCTTACCATCCATAGGACTCTAACCAGTCAGGCAGTCTACACCTGCCTCTCCACATGGCTGACTGGCTGGCTTAAACTAACTGTCGGAGATTTCATGGACTGATGAAGCCATGTTTTCGTTTTACCAGTACTGGCTTTTTTCCAACCTGATCCTATACCAGCTAAAGTTGCCCTCTGTCGAAGAAGGCGATGGATGACTAGGCATACGTAACATATGTTCTAACCATCTCAATCGATGAGGCTGTGAAACATCTCCTTACCCAACACTCGACCGATGGCTAAACTCAATGTAACTCACCCTACTATACCACCTAATATAGGAGATAGAATGCATACACCTTTGATGAAAGACAGCTAACCCTTTCATTTCTCCCACCTTCAGTGGTCATGTCACACAGTCAGATATAAAGGAGGATAGAGTAGACTGCTGCTGTTCAGTTAACACGTCTTTCAGTCGATAACCAGATGTCGCGTTTACATAATAGATGACGTAAATTGGAAAATGTTGTACGACTATTTTGTACTCGTGCTGCGATTTCATCAGTAATCAGTCCATTAGAGTCCAGGCAATTTCTCAAAGTGAAGTGGTCAACACGCTCAGTCACCATTTCACTCCTTCCGTATCTTTAAACTAGGAGTCAATGTAGTTCAGTCCTGTAGCATCATCTTACATTTGACAGCAGCATATCGTATACCAGCCATTTATGCTCAAGGTATTCAGAAGACTGTACTTTACTAGCGTCTTCACCTAGAAGGACTATATCATCCTCATATTCTAAGTCAATAAGTCTATTCCCTGGTAACAATTAAATTCTCAAGTCACTAAAATCAGTGAAGCTCAGTTCCATTAGTACATTTATTATTATAATAACTATTTCTTTTAGTTCCTAGAGGGACATAGGGCTTCAGCCGAACGTCTCCATTGCGTTCGGTTCTCTGCTAGAGTCTTCACCTGGCTCCAAGTCTGCTCAAATGCTTTCATCTCCTCTTCACATGACCCCCTCCAAGTCACCCTTGCACTGACGACCAACTCGCCGCTTCCCTTTCGGGTTCCACTCGAGCGATGGCTTGTCTAGTGATGTCACTTGATGGTTTCCTCGGAGTATGGCCAGCCAATCCATCTCCATTTCTTCCTGCCTATTTGTTTCACAATCGGTTTCTGGTTGGTTCGCTCCCACAGGTCCCTATTGCTGATCTTTTCTGGCCATCTGATCTTGAGTATTGAGCGAAGACAACTGTTAATGAAGGTGTGTAGTTTGTTTGAGATGCTCTTTATGACGCGCAGTGCAAGTCTCTGATCCGTATAATAGCAATGACATTTATGATGAAATTAAATAGATTTGGGGACAATAGGCATCTCTGACGGAAACCTCTGATTGTCATCACTTCAGGCAGAGACGGGTTAGACAGGGGTCCAGAAGTCGCCTGGAGAAGACTTTATGAATAGGAGGTGAAGTCTTGTCGGCAATCATGGAGTCAGTCAGCTGGAAGTAATAGCATAGAATCTAATGAAGTGGAGAATAACCACTAAGGCCTTATGTTCAGTTCGAAACGTAAGGAATTCATGTTAATAATAATAATCATAATAATAATAATTAATAATAATAATAGCATCTAATAATTGACTAACCTTCTTTCCTCATACCAACTTTAATACACTTTTGAAATCGACAATATTGACATTGATTTCTATGATGTATGTCAATTGGACATTGTCTATTCCCTCGACAAGTATAATTTAATTTTCGTCGGACAGATCGTTTAAAAAAACTCTTACAACCTTCACATGTATGCTGCCCGTAATGTTTACCACTGCTTTTATCCCCACAAACAACACATTCCATGCTTTGTCCATTTTTTGAACCGATATCTGTTTCATAATCATCAAGATGTGAACTGTTAATCTCTTCATCGTCTTCTTCTTCATCGCCGTTGTCGTCTTCTTCTCCACCTAGTGCTGGTACTGCTGTTATTGTTGAAATCTCTTCCACATCATCGTCTCTGACATCCTTCTTATTATGATCATGATGGTCACCGTTTTTGCTGTCGATTGTATTGGAGGCTTCTCCAACTCTTCTACATTTTCTTCGTCTTCCAGTGTCAATCTCATGGAAACTAGTATTTATACCATTAAAATCTGAGGAAGTTTGTTTATTCTGACGGATCTTCTCCACACATTTATTGTTATTACTGTTATATAATGAGTATTTATCCCACTTGGTTGTAGTCTCTTTCGTAGATTTGAAAACTAACGTTTCATTCTTATTGTAACTACCGTTATGCTTATCACCATTGTCAGCGTTAGGGCCGGCAGAGGCATCAGTCGATGAAATGATTCCTTTTTCATCATATGACGGAAAGTATCTTTTCCCCAGAATACTCAAATTTATTGGGTATGGATGATGAAATGCTGAATTTCGTTTTGTACTTGTTTGATTATGTAATTCTACAGGTGATGAAGGGATCATTTGAGAAGGTAGTGGTTTACACGTCGACAAGGTGAAAGTCGATGATGACGATGATGATGACGGTGATAGTGAGATCGTTGACGATGAATAACTATTCGGCTTCCCTTCCTGGAATCCCCATAAATGTGGAAATAATAAATCCGATGGGGGAGGAGGAGGTGGTAATAGTGGTGGTGGTGGTGGGAATATTGATGGCGGGAAATTTAAACTTTGTAAATTATTCAATGTTGACATGTTAAAAATGTAAAAAAGAAAGAAATTACTTGTTTATATAGTTCATTTTTATTTTTTTTTACAGAATCATACATTTTCCCCGCCAATTTTTATTCTGGTTAATAGGTGGTATATATTTGACTTTATGTGATAAATTTATGACCCAGATATCCCTTTCCCCGGGGATCATGATCTTTTATTGTGAAAGGGGTGATATAATAAATGGTTATGTAATGCACATATACACACAACAACAACCAAATCGTAAATGTAGAAGAATTTTTAAGTCATTTTATGGTATGTCCTTGGGTCTACATGTATGTCTATAGGGATAACTATGTTCTTGCTTGTATGCGTGTGTGTGGGGTATTACGTCATTTGCTTTATATAATCCTCCGATCTTTCCAATATTCCTCTTAGTGTTACCCCTTGGTTTTAAATCACTGTGTCAAGATGACTAATATGATCATTACTGTGTTACCATTATTGACATTATTATTGGTAGTAGTTGTAACTCTATTTTTCATACCCATATGTAAAGGGATGCGATGAAATGTCATCAACCTTAGGATAACAAAAACAATTACTATTATTCTTATCTCCTCTCTGACAGTGATGTCACTCTATCCCTCAATCCGTCTATCATTGTGGCCACTATTGTGTGTGTTAGGTGTATGCGCGTAACCACCAATGAAGGGATGCATGACACAAGGTCTTAACCGTTAGGGCAGTTGGACGCAAGGGTGATCTACACACTATTAAAGAGTTAGGAAGAGAAGGGAAATATGCATATAAGTTTGTTGCATATACCAATAAAGAGGCGAGAGAGAGAGAGAGGGAGAGGAAGACAGAAGTTTCATCCTCATCTCCCTCCAGTATTTCTAACCAACCAGGTGTATGTAGGGTTAAAGACATACATACAGAAAAAGGGATAGAGAGCAGGACATTTTTACTATGATTGTCGTTGAAGAAGCATGATTTTTGGTTGTTTTTTCTCTTAACAGGTCAGACAGTTAAAAAGGATAGACAAATAATAATATTTAAACTTATCAAATGTTGTTTGATTCAATCTGGATTTTCCCGTCGACTGATTGGACTGAACGTTCACATGTCGGCTCCATGGGGAGATGCTTCGACGATCTTTATTCATGTAACTTGAAGTCAATTAGTGGCTGGTGACTAGTAGTGGAATCCAAGACAAGGCTCGTTTCGTCCTATTTAGGACTCGTCAGCCAGTGGATGTACCTGCATTTCCCAATGAGTGATGGTGTTCCCACTGAGATGGCTGAAGTGGTTGAGTGAAAAACGCTTTGGCGTTTGAAACTATGGGCACTGGGTTCGAGCCTTGGTGGGAATATCATCACTCACTGGGGAAAGCAGGTACATCCAGATGATGAGTCGCAAATAGCACGAAATGCGCGTTCTCCTGGATTCCACTGCTAGTCACCATCCACCAATTAACTTCTAATTATCAAATTTTAGTTTGCAGAAATTTGATTATGGATAGATATCAGTTATGAAACCGTTGGAAAACCAGCACTACAATGCTAGATAGTTGTTTCGTCCTTGTTTAGCTCTCATCATCAGTACGTACCCACCAAAGAGGTCCCAACCGAGGAAATTCCGGTTACTAGGCAAGCCCGTAGATAATTCAGCCACTGGGAACTGATCCAATGGCTCATGAATTCTAAGTTTTGCCAATTATAGATATTTCAAGTTTGAGCAGAAGGTCTTGGGTTTGAACACTGGTGGGTACGTACTGATGAAGAGTCCGAACTAGGATAAAACAGCTGTCCAGTTATTCCTTAGTTTTTCAGTGATCTCTAACTGTGGTGTTGTTTCGTGACGAAATCCACAATGAAATGTTTATCTAGTTGATATTGGTTATCAGTCGAATCTAGGAGGAGTCTTTCGTCCTATATTGAACTCGTTAAGCTGGATGGTAATCCCTCTGAAAATCTAACCCAGTATTCATCGTTTCAGATAGAACATTGAACATTTCTGTCCAATAAAAAGGAACCAGTCAATCACTGATACCAGTTGTACAAGCGTTGGCACTCATGGGTCAATGTTTGAGTGAATAACGCTTTGGGGTTTGAAGGGATGGTCACTGAGTTTGACTTCGAGTGAGGACGCCATAAGTGACTGAAAGTTCAGTTGCATCCACATGACGAGTCCCAGCAAACATCCCGGGCCCTCGGGATGGTAAAAACCAATGGTTGGAAACAATTGGTGACATGGCTCAAAATCGTTCTCAGTGGCGCAGATGCATCCACTCCTTGTGACTTATGATTTCCAATTAAACTTTTGTTCTCCCTTATTACTATTTCTTTGTCTCACACCTCTGTTTACTGTCTATATTATGCATTTCTCCTACTTCCTTCTCTTGCTTTGCGTGCTACATAGATTGTGGCGACTTGAACTGCCGCACGTATGTGCAAAGTTCTATGTCGAAAACCGACCGACCGAAACAAGTAGTACATTCAGGAAGAGTGAACTGTAGGAATGAGGAGATAATTTGTTCAATAGTCAGTACTTACAATTATACAATATAGTCTTAAAGTAAAAAATTAAGGATGTAGCAGCCTGCTGAAATCATTGAGCAACCAACATTTTCTTTCATCCGTCAAAATGAATCATATTTCACTACGTTTCATAGTGTTATTATTATTATTGTTCCCTTGGGTTCCTAGTGGATGGAACATAGGGCTTCAACTGCACGCCTCCACCTGCTTCCGTCTTCTGCTGTACTTTTCACTTGCATTCATGTTAGTCCATACTGTTTCAACTCTTCTTTACACGATCTCCTCCATGTCACCCTTGCACTGACGTCCCACTCGCCGCTTCCCTTTCGGGTTCCACTCGAGCATTGGCCTGACGCGCGATGTCACCCAGCGAGTGGCCTCCTCAGCGAGTGTCCAATCCATCTCCACGTTTCATATTGTTTAGTTAAAACAATATTCATGAATTGTAACTTGATCTCAGGCGCATTTTCAAAAAGGTTTCAACTTACTGCTGCGATGTTTTCGAGGGAAGTGAAAGAAAAATTTCACAGGATAATGGAGGATGATCTGGATGAGGCAGTACTACGTCAAGTGATGCATTATCCATCATTAAAATACTTGAAGATCTTGCATAAGGAGTACCTATCTTCGAACAGAGCAAACTGAAAATTCTGTACTGTGTTTAAAACAAACTTTTATTATTATAACTGGTTAAAAATGCCCATTAAACTTTTCAAAAGAATGGTTATTGAACAAAGAATATTCACATTTTCGATAACCTGCTCTTCATCATCAGGTTCTACAGTTATATATCCATCCATAATAGTGAATGAATTAGTGTTATTAACAATAACATTAATGCTGTTTAAATAACATCGAATCAATAATCATAATCATCATCATAATAATAATAATAATATCAATGGAATACAGTTCGACAACATCAACATGACAATACACACTGAATATCAGACAGCCAAATTAGGAAAGAAAACAATAACACAGATTCATGAATTTATAGTCTCCACTGAAGGCTGGCCAGGACAGTTCAAGTGGCTGGCTGGAGTTGCTTCTTCTGCACACAGAACACCGGTTGTTTCAGGCGAATTGCAAAAGCCTATGCTGTTTGGAGTATGTGGTACCTGGATGTTTTTGGCAATTTATTTGGTACCCAATAGATGATGACAGAGAAGGATTCTTCAATACTGACTGGATTAGTGGCCGGTTTGAACCTACATACATACATACGACTGCAGTTCAAGGGTGATATACCAAGCGAAATAACTACAAAGAAATTAAGAAGATCAGTTCAAAGAACTTTTTAATGCTAGGAAACTACACTTCATATTTTCTACACAACCGATGGTGATTCCTCAATTGAAAAATGAAGTACCTAGACTAGCCACCTCCAATGGTATCTAGCAATTCAACTGCGCTTGTGGTGAAGTGAGTTGTATCGGCCGCTGCTCTAAGAATTTGATTTTTCGTGCTCGCTCGGAAACATCTACCAGTGTGGCTAAATAAAGGTATGGCAAATACCATTAACAGTTCGATATTAGAGCCCCTGGTCTAAACCGGCAAATTAGCCAGCCGGCATCGGAGAATCCCTCTCTATCATCATCTATTGGGTACCAAATAAATTGCCAAAAACATCCAGGTACCACATACTCCAAACAGCATAGGCTTTTGCAATTCGCCTGAAACAACCGGTGTTCTGTGTGCAGAAGAAGCAACTCCAGCCAGCCACTTGAACTGTCCTGGCCAGCCTTCAGTGGAGACTATAAATTCATGAATCTGTGTTATTGTTTTCTTTCCTAATTTGGCTGTCTGATATTCAGTGTGTATTGTTATGATGATGTTGTCGAACTGTAATCCATTGGTATTATCATGATTATTATGATTATGATTATTGATTCGATGTTATTTAAACAACATTAATTTTGTTGTTAATAACACTAATTCACTCATCCACTATTATGGATGGATATATAACTGTAGAACCTGATGAAGACCAGGTTACCGCAAAATATGAATATTCTTTGTTCAGTAACAATTCTTTTATCATTATTATGTGACAAGTTTGACCGCGAATAGACATCAATTAGCAAACCATTTAAAACATTCCAGAGAGTACCGGACAGTTGTTTCGTTCTAGTTAGGGAATCATCAGCAGTGCTCAAGACCTTCCTGTCACAAGGCAAGCTCGTACACCATTCAAGCACTGGGACCCAATCAAATGGCCTGTCCATGAATTTCAACTTCTACCGAATTTGTGATTTTAGCGCCACTGGCTACAGCCACTGTCGTCGGTGGCAAGTATTTATCCTCACCCCCGACTGAGTGAGCTCCACCCCTGCTAGTGGTGACTTCTCACTAGAACTCTAGCCAGCTTCGTCCTGCTGCCATCAGATCAATTTTCAAGAGTTAGAATTTAGGGATTTAGTTCGTTTTACGTTTGACCACGGATTGTTATCAGTTAGGAAACTACCGTTGAAAACCAGCTGAGAGTACTGGACA